AAGTGTATAATAGCCATTCTTGCAAGAAATCACTTCTGAACTCTGCTGCTGTTAAAACTGTTTCAATACTGAGCCAATTTCAGACCAACTTCTTCTCTCTCCCTGTTAGGGACATAAGTCACATCTACATGCTATTTCTCATGAAGGAAGAGGGTTCATGTGCAGATTAAATATTTTCCCAAATATATTTTCTCTCTCCTTAATGTTTTGATCTTGAAGAAGAACTGAAATGTTGGTCTTAGCCTCCTGGGAGCTATTTATTCAGGTAATCAACTTTCCATAGTTGTTCTGGGTAGTTGTGACTTGAGAATTCTCCTTCTGCTATCCAGAGCTCTCCTTACTTCAGGAAAAGGTTGTGCCAGGTCTCTGGCGTGCCACTCCACAGAATTCTCTGTGCAGGGCCCAGCTGCTGCCCAGCCTCCTATGTGAGGTCCAGACTCACATTCTGGATTGACCCTGACTCAGCTGCTCTTAGGAAAGGGCAGAGTCTTGAAGATGTAGACTCTTCACTTTTGGTTTGGGACACTACCTAAACTTGGATGTCCGGGTCCTCTTTCTCAAGAGCTTTTAGTCCTCTTAAAAGGTGGGTCATTTCTGTAGAGGTCCCTTGTGAAAATTACCTATTAGATATAAGAATAGAACATCTGGAAGAAAAATACATGCTGGGAGAATTTGAGGGCAGCTGGAGTGAGTAGTAGAAAGGTGCTAATGAGGTTTTCGTCACCTGTAACCTAACGAGTGAGTATAAGCAAAAACTGTTTAGGCATCCAGCAACAAGGAAATATATTAATGGGAGAAAAAAAGTCAAGCCTCTTGTTTAATGAAGCAGCAGATCACTATTGAGGTTGGTTCCAATATACAGTACTGCTGTCTCTTTCAAAGGGTTTTATTACAACCTTGTTCTCTGTGATTCATTTCGTAAGTTCCCTAAGTATATAGAATGAAAGAAGTTTGCAACTAGAAAAGTCCCAGAGAACAGTCATCTGTCCCCTTTATAAAAAATGAAGAAACTGGGCTTCAGAGAGGAATAATAAAATAATATAGAGAATTAATAAAATAATAGATACCTGGCATTTCTACAACTCTGTTTTTACAAAATACTTTTACATGGAATTCAATATTTATATTATAGATAATAATTGCAGCCATCCTTTCCTGAGCAATTACCATGTGCAGACTTTTGATGAACGCTATGCATTGATTACGATATTTAATACAACTCTGTGGTATTATGATTATCCCCATTTTATAAGTTAAAAAGATCCTGAAGGTCAGAGGTTAAGTAATTTGCCCAGGGTAGCACAGCTAGTTATTAAGTAGCAGACCAAAGTGGTCTAACCTCCAGGCTTACCCTCTTAACCAACTGATAAGCCCTTCCCTTGATTTTTCATAGTGCCATGGGTCATATTGATAATTGTGACAGAATTGAGGCCAGTGGTCCATTCCCCCTAAAGAACTTAATTAATCAATGAGTTGAAGTCAGGAGTGTGGTCAGTACGTAAAGGGCAGATCACCAGGTTCTGTGCAGTTGCTAAAGGTTGATTTCAGATTTGGTTCTGTGCTACCTAGCATCCAGAGCAGGTAGGCAAGCACGAGCAGGAACAGCAGTCAGTGTCCATGCAATCAAACCTTCTTTTCTAGAGAGGCATAGTCTTTCCTGGCCTGGGATAGTGCTTCCATGGATGTCAGTGTCTACAAACTGTTCAGTAAATACAGTAGTGAATTTTTTTTTTCCTTTTTGTCTTTTTTCGTGACCGGTAACGGGATCGCAACCCTTGGTGTCGTGCCTGTACCGCGACTGGCAACGGGATCGCAACCCACGGTGTCGTGCCCGCACCACGCTCAACCAGTGAGCGGACCGGTCTCTATATGGGATCCAAACCCTCGGCGGGAGCGCCGCCGCGCTCCCAAGTGCCGCACTCTACCGAGTGCGCCGCCGAGCCAGCCCCAGTAGTGAATTTTGTAAGGCTTTTCCTTAAACTTTCTTCAATGTAGGCCAGTGTTTAATGCCAAAACATGTCAGGGACATTCTATGAAGGGCGAAGACCATATGCTCCAAGTGTACAGATCTCAGATGATCTGACTTCATTGCGAGATAAATTGTAGGGCATTTTATGTGAGTAAGAACTGCTAAGATTTATGGGACTTTTGCTTACTATATGCTAAATGCTGTGAATGAGACCTGAATGAAAATTATCCCACTGAGTCCTCACACACTATGTGTTATTATATCAGGTCTGTATGCAATATGCCTAAGGAAGCAGCCAGAACAAAGTACCTCAGAATTTTGTTTTCAGTAGGTACCTTTTTAAAAACAATGAACCTATCTTATTTTCATACTTAAGAAAAAGACTTCCAGGAACTTGCTTTTAACCTTCAACTCTGAATGATGGAAAAATCAAGAGATTGGTTCATCATAATAGTAATTCCATAATAGTTTGACTCAGTCATGCTGTCCAGTGTAAATTCAATTGAAAAATAATTTGTGGATGATTAGTTTAACAGTCAGTTGGCTTGTATGCTTTTATCTTTTACTATCTTGTCTGACTTGTTTTAAACCAGACAGTTGACTGTTAAACATATTATTTTCCTAAATTTAAATTTCCACTTTCTAGTCTTTTAGATTCTGTTGTAAAACACCTATTGTTATGTATGTTTTGTTGTTTTGGGCTCCTACCCACGGAACAAAGGCCAAAGTACACCAGGGATGAAAGTTTTGTTTATGAGATTTCAGATTTCAATTGGCGTCTTAGTTCTTTTCTAGAATCAGGAAACTGTATACAGATTAATATTACCTTATCTTGAAATCACAATCATAGGACCATTTTGTAGTATCGCCCATAGATAACTCACCCTTAAATGTATTTGTTTAATTACCCACTTATAGAATGGTGTGTTTCATTGTAGGGATAGGAAAGAATTTGGAGACACAGACATTGACCTAAAGATGATTTAAAAAATACATATTATGTTATAGAGAAGATGAAAAGTATTGTCAGTTCTTTTACAGCCAGATGTTACGTGAAAACCTCTAAGAGCTCAGAGGAGGGCGATACTCCATTCTCGGATGAGGTGTGGGCCTGGAACCAGATGTTGAAGGATATGTGGGATTTGAAAACGTGGCCAAGCAAGAAGAGAAGGTGGTAAATGAATGCAGTGCAGACGCCAGCTGCAGGGTCTTCCGCTAGCTCCTGTTGCACACCCTGTGCTGTCTGTGTGGAGTTCTTCACAGCCGCTCCTGCCCTGCAGTGTCCACCTGCAGTGGCTGAAATCTCTTCCTCCTAGATCCTTATCTCTCTTACAAATCTCCCTGCCCTTTGAGATTTGCATACCCAAATCTACCAGCTATTGTGCTGTTGATACAGTGCCCTCCCTTAAACAGAATATACCCTCCCTGGAATATTTTTACCTTCTGCAGCAGGAAGGAGTATAATGCATAACTGAAAATGAGCTGTGTTCGGCAGAGCAAGCTGGCTTGATGGGAGCTGAGAGTTGAGAAGAGGGGTTAGGGAACAGTTTGCCTAGAAGGAAGGATAAAGCTTTAAATTCTGCAATAAGGTATTAGGACTTCACGCTATTAACATTGAGGTAACTTTGAAGCTTTATGAGCAGGAGATGTACATAATAAAAAAGGTAACGATTCCTGTCCGTGTTTGATAGAAATGAGGTTTTATTGGGTCAGATTTCTCTATTCTAGTGAAACCTGTTTTTACTCATTTTCCTTCCACTGTTGTAGTAAAACTTGATTTCTTCCATTAAGGTAGTTTTTTTCCCTTTATCCTTCTACTCTTCTGCAAGAAGCTGGAAGAAAATATTAGCCCTCTGAATTTACTTCTGCATCTTGCTGTTACAACTCACCATTGCTGATGCCTCTTTCACCTTTTGTCTTTACAGTCTTTTATGCAAACACATTATATCGTCCCTCCCCGCGCCCCCATGGTCTCGAAAGGTCATAACCTGAATTTTATTTCTCAAAGTGGAGAAGGCTTACATTGTGCCTTTTACAAGTCCACTTCGTCCTTTTAAGCCCTCATTTTTAGGCATTTTCAATCCCTGGAAAAGTTAATATATGGCACTCTGAATGCGAACCCTCCCTTTTCTACTAAATCCAGGACCAGGCTTACAGTCCAAATAACCTGGCATTTTTTATTGTTTTCTCCTTCACTCTCCCCAGGTTTATTGCAGTTTCTAATTTGAGTTCACTGTGATAGCCAGACACTAGACTACTTTATTTTCAAGAGGATTTCTTTGTGTGTGCTGACCCTGAAGCTTAGAACTGTGAACCACAAAAAATGTACATAATGGAACTTTCAAGAAAAAAATTTATATACTTTTATTGGACTTTTTGAATATATCCAACTCTGTGGTGAAAGGTGATTATCCTCCTAGGAAACTGCTTTAAAACAAAAAAGTAGAAAAGATAATGTTCTTAGTCTGTCTCTCTATGACATATCTATATCACATGTATTAAGTAGTTTGGAAAGTAAAAATAAGTATATATGTTATTATAGAATATGAAAAGAGTCCATTTGGGCAAGGCTAGTTTATAAAATGGAAGGAGACATTTTCCATTTGTATAAAAATGTACAGACTTGCAGAGCCAGGAAGGATTTGTAAAGAACATTGGTCCCAGTGGTCTTCAAGCCATGATCCTCAATCCTGGGTCCTGTGGGGACACTTCCAGGGGAATTGTGGGACAGGGAAGGCTGGGGAGCCCACCTTTCTTCAGACTGAATAGCTCTACTTCCATCTCTTCTACACATCAAGCTTTCCTGTTTTATAAAGAACCTTTCCTAAAGCTAAAAAAAAACAACAACAACCAAAATTTGCAAACTACTGATAGAGTCCAAAAACACAGGCAATTTCTGAACACCTTCTATGACATATTAATGATAAACAGATAAACACATTGATCTACATGGTTCCTGATATTTTTGGAATCCTAATTTGTAATTTCAGTAAAGTGTGTTTAGGTAACTATTATTAGTGAAACAGTGTACATGGAGGACTTAACATTTTCTGAACTTATGCTTTCACTTGGAGTGGGCGACGCAGGTAATGAATTTCTCAATGGGTATGAAATAATGTCAATAGAATTATTGAAAGCCTTTGAAGTGGTAATTTTAGGTTTGAATATTGTAACAGCAGGTGGAGCTAGTAGTAGGAACGCTCTTTCTAGGCCATATAAAGAGCAGCAAGATGTATAAAACTTACATTAATGTGTTTGCATTGCTGAGCTTTAGGAATAGCAAATACATTGGCTTTGGAAAGTGATCATATTATTACAACACGAAAGCCAAGCTGAATGAAAACTTCGCTATCCTTTTTAGAAAAGGGGCTTACGTTTGGATATGTGTTGCCTTGGAAGACTAAGACAAGTTAAGGGTGTCTTGTGGGGGAGGGATGTGTTTACACAGTTTAATATATGCTTGATGAGTATGACCCCTAGAGCATTGACTTAATAAGGTATATGAATCTGTGGGAAAATAGTGTGAAAGAACTTGATTACATATACATTTATTTGTGTTATTAGACTGCTTTTCTTTTAAGTGGTCATAGACATACAGTTTAAATGCACATTCATTTTCCCCTAGTAAAAACTAAAGAACACGTGCTTTGTAACCCACAAGATTGTGAGATAACGACCTGAATCCTTTATAGCTCCAAAGAGTGATGAGTTATCTGAATATGAAATTTAAAAGATATCACCACTCGTGTGCTTTTTTTTTCTTGTGAATCATGCATTGAACTATGGAATTGTGCTTTTCGCCCCCTTATTTCTCTAAGTCAGATGCAGTGATAAATAAAAGGCAAATATTATGCATACATTTCCTTCCTCTCTGAATTTTGTTTTTTACTTTCTAATATGGATTAAGAAATTGGAGTTTCTAAAATGATGGTTTGTTTTGCTGCCTATGTGAATAAAAAGTGACTTACTTTTTGGCATTAGTTTACAGAGTTAGGAGATATTTAAAGTACACATCTTACTGTTTTTCGCTGAAAACTAGAAATAACATCTTATTTGCTATTATTTGTTCATTACATGTTATTTGTTCAGCAAACATGTAATGAATGCCTGCTCCATGCTAGGCATCATACTGAACACTGGAGATACAGTTTTGAAAAATGTGCATTGTTTTCTTTCAGCATGTATCAGGCAGACATGTAGTCAAAATAATTACTATAGATGCCAATAGATTCTATGACTGTGTTTGGTCACAGGAAAGGCACTCATCTGAGAGAAATCAGAGAAGGCTTCAAAGAGGAGGTAATGCTTGAGTTGCATCTGGAAGGAGATGTAAAAATTCACTAGGAGAAAAAAGGAGAAAGTGCATTCTGGGCATTGTGTTTCACATGGGCAAAGGTATGGGGTATGAAACAGCATACTGTCTTGGGGCAGCACCAGAAAATTTGCTAGGGAGGCTGGAGAGGCAGGCTGGGGTAAGACTGTAAAGGGTCTCATGGGACACGATACCATCAGTGAATAAATTATTCAAGAATTTCAAGTAATCTACATGCTATTTAATTGATTAGCTTTTGATGTTCATGAAACTAAAGTTATGGCTTTGATCTTATAGGAGTGTGGTATGGCTAGACTTCAATTATAACCTCAGCTACCAGTTTTAAATATGTTCTCTGGTCACAAGAGTTATTAGGTGAGAATGGAGCTGCATCAGTACGTATCCTTAACAACTACCGGGAAAAAAATTCTACGTATGTTAATTTAACACAATACCTGCCAGGCCCTCTGCTAGGTGCTGGGAGATATGTTCTGTTGCCTGGAGTACAGCCAGCTGCCTCTCTGACTTTTCCTCTTGGTTGTCTCTGAAGTGTTGGACACTTCACAGGATGGAATCACAGCTCTTCATCTCGGCCCCAGTCCTGCTCTTCCTCTCATCTTCCTTGTCTGTTAAAATGACTCCTTGAGCCAGCTAGTACTCAAGCCAGAACCTACAGGTTACTCTCGACATCTCCCTTCCCACCTGCCATGTCTGACTCCACTGCCAGCACCCTCGCACCACATCTCTTGCCAGCAGGCTCCTAACTGGTCTCCCTTTTAGATTTTTGCTTCCCCCCAATCCTTTTTTCAAGATAATAACCAGAAAGATTTTTTAAAAACCTAAATCAGATCATATCACTTCTCAATTCAAACCTTCTATTGACTTCCTACTGCAACTTAAAACCCAAATTATTTACCGTGGCCCACAAGGGCCTGTGTGTTCCGGCCCCCGCCTCCCTCACCCACCTCCTCTAGTATTGCTCGCTCTTGCTCACTGTGGTCCAGCCACAATGGCTTCTTTTCATTTTCCCACTTTCTCACCCCATGGCCCTTGCATGTGCTGTTTCCACTGCCTGGAACACTCTTCTTCCCATCCTTTAGCCAGCCGGTGTCGTCTCACAGATAGGTGTTAGCTTAAGTCTCTCCTTCTTCACCAGGGTCTGCTCTACAAGAGGATTCCTGTGACTCTTTCACAGCCTCCTGCTTTCCCCTTCACTGCACGTGTCACGGTTTGCAGTTGAACCTGTGTGATGAATGTCTCTCCCACTAGACCAGTAGCTCCCTTGGGACTGGAGTCATGTGTGTTCTTTTCACCTCTGTTTCCAGAACTTAATACACTGCCCAGCACACAGTAGTTCCTAAAAAATTGTAAAAGAATCATTTAAAAATGCAAAGATAGACTGACTTTTTTTAGTTTCTAAATCTTTAACTACAAATAAGAAAAACATGGGAAATTCAGAGAATTATATTCTACATTTTTCAAACTATTGGAACTATTTAAGGAAAGGTATATACCTCAGTATTACCTCACCAAAAGGAAAAGGGTGCATGTGGTTATTGTATGATTTGGGCTGTTTTTAAAACAGAGTGATAACTTTTTTTTATGGAAATCCTGAGGTATACAAGTGAACTGCTTTTTTATATATGTTTAGGGCTCAGTTCACTAAAACATTTAAATTCTTGGCTCTGCTCTTTAAACCTACTACAAAGATCACATTAGAATTCATTTTAATAGACATTGTAAGCACAGTATCCAATCTCATATTATCATGCTGGGCTCTTTTATTATGAGAGTAGCAGGAAGCTGAGCCTGCGGCTGCTGAACACATTATGGGGTGTATCCAGGGCTGGGATGGTGCCAGCTCCATTGTTTATGTAATATTCTCTCCACCTTTATCTGAGGAGTGCAATTGGTATTGACTTTTGAGAAACTACTTCTCTGACCCGATCTCCCAGTTGGGGAAAAAACCTGCTGTAATGACATCTGGCTAGGAAAAAAGGGATCAAAGAAGCATAAGGAAAGAAAAGTTATGAGTCCTTCTTTAATAAGTAGTTTCATGCCTGTCTATTAGATCTTTTAGAGGGAAGAATATTAAACTTTTTCAAGGTCACTGTTCTTTTATACCCTGAAAAAGCTCAGTGAACCCAAAAAGTGTGTCTCGTTTTTACTCTTGATTGTTAGTGTTGTGTCTCCTTAGCATTTAGGAAAATATCTTTTTGACGTCATAGGTCTTTAGGAGTAAATACTGTTCACCGAAATTAAGATAAAATTTATTTGTGAAATTTATTACTGTGCATTTATGTTTTATATTTTCTTAAAGAGGAAGACAGTCATCTTTGGCAAATTTTCTTCCCCCAATTGTTAGGTGTATCGCTTGAGCAGTTTTTAGATATTGTAAGGAAAAAGAAGGAAGCTCAACTGTATCAGAATGAAACAAGACGTATCTTCACAGCTTTTGACATACGCTGTAAGTGTTTTTAAAGTTTTAAAGGATTTTGATGTAAAAAATTGCTAGTAAGAAACTGTAAACTGTAAATGTATATACTCAAAATCAAATAAACAATATACTTGGAAAATTCTTTCACTGTATTCACTAGCTATCACCTTAGGTATTGGTGTGAATTTTTTTCTCCATCACTATCTTAAATTCTTGACATTTACCACAGATGAAGTAATAATTACAGATATATAAGTGTACGTATATATGGTACCTATATACTTATATGTTGTGCCTTTATTGTAATGGAGCCAGCAGAAAGGCTGGCCATGTGGGTATATAGGCTGTGAGCCACCTATGGAAGTGTGGGACACTGTGTGGCCTTTTCCTTCAAGTCTTGCTTTGGCCCACACATGATTGAAGGAATTGTTTTCCCACCCGGGTGTGGCTGAGAGGGCTAGCTTCAGATCCCCTAACCCCATGGTTCACACACAGGGTGAAAAGGCTTGTGGAGTCTAGGTTCAGTGTCTTGGCTGCTGTTGTGGTTTCCCCCTAAATATTAATATATCATAATTATAACACTAAGCAAGAAAAAAAGTGACTTTTAAAGACTAAATTATTTTGACAGTTCTCAAAGACTCAAGGCCTAATGCCACTATTATAATGTATGTCTCTATATAGTCCTTTCTCTGGGACTTATAAAATCAGCAAAATGATAGGAATGGAGGTGACCTTTGAGATCGTTAAGGACTGATTCTAGACTAGATTTTACTAGATTCTTAAATTCTTCCGATGAGACAATCTCGGATTACCTTATATGTAAAATCAACTATAAATTACTGCTTTTCTCCTAATAATATATTAAAATAAAGTTTCACATACATGTTATAGCTGAAATAAGAGTTAATAGGATTTATAGAAGTAAGTAAATGTTTTATATTTTGTTTTCAAATAGATCGTGGATTTTTAACTTTGGAAGATTTCAAAAAAGCATTTAGGCAGGTGGCTCCCAAATTACCAGAAAGGACTGTTCTCGAGGTATTCAGGTAAGGCACCAAAATATGTACACTCACCCCTTGATTTATCATTTGCTTTTACAAGGTTTTGGTTTTATGGAGGACACTTCTTTATGCTGATTTTTCACTTATGAACATTTCCATCTCATAGAATAGTATTGTGACTGAGGAGAGAAATCTATAGTTAGCAGTGAGCCCATTCATACCCTTTACAGTGGATTCTAGAGAGGGTGGAGTACTTGCACACCAGGCAGGTGCGTGAAAACATTTGTCGGTAGGGGTGGGAGAGGAGCAGGAGGAAAGCAGAATTCTTCATATACTTACGTGTTGACCCCCAAAAAAAAAAAAAAAAAAAAGAAGCTTTATTCATCTTTAGCATGGGTGCTGGTGTCCTCGTATAGTCTGTATTTCAGTCAGCCACAGGCTGCCCATGGGTCTTGAGCTGTCTGGAGAGAAGAATTGGAGTTGTCTAATGGTGGTCCCTCTTCATCTACTTTCAAAGCTGTCAACACATGGTGCAGTTCACGCATAACTGATATAGTGGATTTAAAGATTATATCATACAGTTTTTAATGAACTAATCCTGGCAAAATGGACAAGTGGCCTAAAAGCAGTTTCTGTTAGGAAACTGCAGATGGAGGGTGATAGTGATAGTGTGAGCACGTGCTGCCGTGGGAGAATGGCAGAGCCGTCTCTTCTCGGACGCCCAGCACGAGCTCTTCATCAGCCCTGTTACCGGGTGCATTAATTAGGGCCAGTACACCAGCAAGAGCCAGAAAACCCAAAATGACAGAACTCAGAAAAGAGAGAAATGTATTTCTGAATGATGACAACACAGGACGGACCCGCATTCCCCCTTTCTTGTTGCTCTGGCTGCCTCAGCACCTGGCAACCTGCATTCCAGCAGGTAAGGAGGAAAGGAAGCAGAAGATATGCCCCTTCTTTCAAGCCTCTATGTTATTTTTGTTTACCTCCCAGTAACCAAAACCTAGTTCCAAGGCCATGCATAACTGCAAGGGGGATAACACTTGGCAAAGGTACTCTTTGCTCTGGACAGTCATGTTCCCACTAACAGAGGTTCTGATACTGAGGAAGAAGGAGAGAGAATGGATTTTGGGGGACATCTGGCAGCTGTTCCTAATTGGGATAAAAGTAATTTACTGAAATCTGACCAGAGTCCAGCTCTGCTCAGTAGAAATTATCAAGCAGGTTATCTGAATAAGGATTTGCACTGATTATCATTAATAGTGACATATGTGAAATTCATTTGCTGCATCATTCCCAAGCAAACTATTGAAGAGCAAAGAAATTAGAGCCATACAGAGTGTTAGAGGACACTATTGCTTAGTCAATTTTGTAAAAGCTAGTCCTTTAAAATGCAGTAGCATTTTTGTATATACTTTGTGATGAGATGGATAGTAAATACCAATATATTTCTACCTCACAGAGGTTGTTGTTAACAAAAGAACTAAAAATTGTTACTCATTTTCCTTTTAGAAAAAGACAAATTGTTCAGAGTTGCTGACCTTTATGTGTTAAATGGTTTTAGTAGTTGCTACCTTGTAGAGGTTTTTGAAAAATATATAGCTCTTCGAGGTGGAAGCAGTGTTTTAACAATGAATAAGAAATAACTGCTTCTTGGAAGAAACCTATGCTTATGCTACAGGGAGAACATTTTTGAAATGGATGTTTGGAAATGTGATTTTATTTTTAAAAATGTGTGACATCTATTAAAACTGTTCACATCTGCCTGTTCAATAAGTTTAAAATGGAATTCTGGCTAAAAAAAATTTCACAAAGTTTCAGTGGTTTTAGGGCACAATTTTTTAAAATATGAAAGTTTAATAGCATTAATATGTTTTCAAGAACAACTGACTGATATCAGGAAAGATGGACATTTACTAGCTGAATTTCATTTAGCAATACCAACAAAATAATAATTTTTTAAAAAATTGAAAAACCCCTAAACCTTTTTGCATTTTCAGAAAATGGAATTAAAAACCGAGGGTATCAGTATCATCATGACCTTTTCCCATTTAGATCTTCATATTTCCATGAGGTATCTGACAGCCATTGAAGCCAAGTATCAAAACAAATTGAACTTTAAATTGCTCAATCACAGAGGATTAAGCCAAGATGTTCAGAAATAATAAAGTATATTAAATCACATTGTTCTCGTTAAGTATTATTAATAATTTCTAGTGACAGCAAAAAGTTATTTGCTATTAATAAATACAATGTTTGTATCTTTATTTAATCTTTAGAAATTCCTATATTGTGTTATATTGTACATAATAATATAGTAGCATATGTGCATGTAATCTATAAATAAATATATTCATATTGTAGGGATATACCTACAAATCTTGTACTTAACTATGGTTGTGTGATCAAAACAGTTTGGAGATCACTGCAAACAAGACATACAGCCAAACAAGACATTTTAGTTGGTTGAACATGCCCTGTTTAAACTCTCAATTGTATTTTTATAACATTGCAATCCCTAAACCAGAATAAATAATGAATAAGAAGTATTAAATGAAGTTGTGAACCCAAAAAGGAGAAAAAAAATTTCTTCTTTGTGTAAATTGGAGTACGCAAAAAAAAAAAAAAAAGTCTGACTTACACAAACATCCATGTTTCAGTGGTACAAACAATTTTCAAGAATAATAATAAAAAAATCAGCTTATAAGGCTGTTAGTGATGTAGAGTTATGTAATGTTTCTAAGGTTAGACATTCACTTTTTGAGAAGCTTGAGTAGCTTTTGACTTAATTGATGAGCATGAATGGAGTTCATTACCCAGGTCCACAATTACTGAGAAGAAAGGTGGGATTTGAGGGGCACTGTAAGAAGGAGCTAGAGAGTGAGAATTCTCATTAGACCAGAGTCTTCTATGGTTTGAATGACTGAAGAAGTTTTCATAATCTTCAATTCAGCAACTGCCTGATTCTTCCCAAAGGAATTTCTCAAGATCACCAGCAGTCTCTTTCTGAAGTACTTGCCCATCTTTTTATAAACCAACAACTACAATAAAACCAACCATCTAAACAAACAATGCAAAGAATGAGACATGGGCATAAAGCATCAAAGAATCATTTCACTTTATAACTTGATAGAAACACTGGTGTTTCATTCATTAACTCTGAGAGTGTTACAAGAACTAAATGAGATACTTTTCTAAGTTTTGTGAATTGTTGCCTAAATGTCAACTATTCTGGTTGATATTTAGTGATCTTATCATGAATAAAATCAATGTATTTTTTTTTTTCCTTTTTGTCTTTTTTTTTTTCATGACCGGTAATGGGATCGCAACCCTCGGTGTCGCGCCCGCACCGCTCTCAACCAGTGAGCGGACCGGTCTCTATATGTGATCCGAACCCTTGGTGGGAGCGCCGCCGCACTCCCAAGCGCCGCACTCTACCGAGTGCGCCACCGGGCCGGCCCAAATCAATGTATTTTTAAAAAAGAAATATATTGTCAAGGATTCGTAACAGCTACATTGTGTTCTGCAATCATAATTTCTTTTCTTTTAGTCTGAGTTCTACAGTTAAATAAAGTCAAAGCTCACCTCCAGGCTTTGTACCATAGTTTCTGCTTAGCTGAAGTTTATCCTCTAGTTGGGATCATAAGAACTTTATTCCTTGTTGTCTTTCATGTTCAAAAATGTTTATCTGGGCTATTATACTTGAATAAAAATATATAATGAACTTAATGCTAACATTTTTGAGTCACATTCTTTTTCTTTGAGAATGCTGATAATGTTGGAAATCCTTTTAAATTTTTTGTTAATTTCTATTTTAATTGCTTGCTGTTCTCATCATGTTTCTTAGTATATTTTCAGCAATGTCTGTTTGCCTTTGTGCTGCATCTAATGTGGCTTTTTTTTTCTGTTTTGTTCTATATCTGCTAATGTTTCACGTCCTTTTGTTATTTTGCTCTATCTTGTTATTTTATATTATCTTCCCTAAGCATTTCTAGATCTGCTTTCAACTCTTGTTTTATAGAGGCATTTGTTTTATTAGGGAAACAATGATTTTTGAGATTTTATTTTTAATAGCTGATTGCTTGGTGGATGCTGTTTATAACTTTTTCCATATTAGTTAATGAAAGCAAGTTTTCTTCTGTGGGAAGAGTTGTGAGGAACAAGTTACTGTCTTAAACCAAGGTATATCTCACGTAAAAACCAAAAAGAGAAATTGGATTGGTTTCTTATCTCTAAAGATATCATAAAGTGTTTAGCAGTAGGATTTCAAAATTTGAGACTCCTTTCTGTGTTTGAAACATCACTTTGCTTTTCTCTTAGAGCTGCTAGTCATCATTTGTGTATTTGTAGACTAAAATAGCTGAGGCTATATCAAAGGTGATGTTTTATTGTTATTCAGAAGTTCTTTCAATTACTTCCTTGAAAGTCTTTTTTTTCCTACCCATTAAAAATGGCAGAAGTTCAAGAGACAGAAGAGCTGAATAGTACTGTTTGCACTATGAAATTAATGTTGGATAATAGGATATTTCTAGTGCTAAAAGGTTGAAACAAGACACATAATTCCCCTTTAACACTAATAGATCTTGTTGAAAGCTTTGTAATGCTATCTTTGTTTAAAAGAAATGTTCAGAAATCTTCAGTGACTTTAATGGGTAAAGTTAAAACTCTTTAAACCTGGCTCTCCAGCATCTGGTTCCTTTTCTAACATCTGGTCCCCTCTCCAAACTCATCTTTCATTGGTCCCAAATTCCTGTGTTTCCCTCGGCGTAGTACTTGTTCCTTTGATTATGTGATGTGCATTTACACTTCATTCTATTTCCATTGCCTGGCAATGCCTTTCCCTACTCCCTACCTACCCAAATTTGAACTATTTTTTAAGGTCCTGCACAAGGATACCTTTTTTTCTCTACACTGAACAGTCTTGTCTCCTTTCTCTAAATTTCGATAGTATTTATTGTTAAATTTTTTTTTTTTTTTTGTCTTTTGTCTTTTTTCCGTGTCCGGCAACGGATCGCAACCCTCAGTGTTGCCCCCGTACCGGACCGGGGACCGGCAACGGGATCGCAACCCTCGGCGTTGCTCCCGCGCCTCGCTCAGCCAGTGAGCGGGAGCCGGTCTGTATGTGGGATCCGAACCCTCGGGCAGGAGCGCCGCTGCGCTTCTCAAGCAGTGCACTATCCAGTGCGCCACCAGGCCGGCCGTTAAATATTTTTTTAACTTGATAAAAATACAGTGTTTGTGATTATCTCCATAAAATGCAAGCTCTTTGAGTTTGCAGACTTATCTGTAATCTCCACTGTATGGTGATTATATATATAATCCCTGGTATGTTGCCTTATGCATTGTAGTTAATCAATAATTGTTGTTCCTTTATTCCAAATACCAAGTGACAGTAAAATTCTCACAGTTTTCTTTATGGTTTAATTTATTTCTTATAAAGTAGGAAAGAGTACTTTAAAATATAATCAGGAGCTTTTTAGTCACATGTGGCTTTGCTTTCCATCTTTCTCTTTCTACATGTGATTATTTATATTATGAATTAATCTCTGACAATCTTTCTCTGCTTTATTTTGGGGGCATTTTCAATTCATGGTTTAGCCTCAGCTGTCATCGGGGAGCTGGCTTAATGTTCTTTCTTGTCTTTGCCTGCCATCAGCACCCTGTGGTATTTCTGGCTGGCGTTTTTCTCTGTGTGAGTATGTTTACTTCTCCATGCCCAGGAGCCTTCTCCATCTCATTGTAAGCACTGAAATTTGTACATTCCCACCACCTGTCAGTTGGCAAAAAGCTCTGGAGCTCCTTCTGCTTCCCAGCCATGAAATGAAACGTGTGTGCAGAAGCCTGTGCCTTGACCCAACATCCAAGATTCTGAGTGCACAGACCAATGCCACATATTAATGTAAAGTGGAAATATTGAGGCACCAAAGTGCTCTTCATTCAGATCTGGAGACATTTAAATCCTTATATTTTGGTGTAAACAATCCCTTTCTCCATATTACATGGGGAAGATCTAACTCTCCTTCTTTGGGGTATTAAAAATTGGTTGAAAATAAGAGCATTATGACTTGTCAAATAATATATTTTCAGTGTCAGAATGTTAGTGGGGGTGGAGATAGGGGCTAAGGAATGCAATTTAAAAAAGTAGTGATAGATATTCCCTTGGCAGAAAAATTCTATATGCATCATATCACAGCCATTATAGAGGAAAGGATTGTCATGATCTTGGGTAAAACAAACTGATAGACTCTTCTATTATGCTGAATGGAAGAGTCTTACAGAGCCGAGGGGCCTAAAGTAAAGTGATTTAAGATAGCATTTATTTTTTCAAATCATTTGCATCTCTTTTGAAGTGGTATTTCTCGCTGTGTTCCTTAGCTTCCTATAATTCCTTTCTGCCAGCAACCGACTTGTTGCATATCATTTTCTCAGACAATCTCTAACAAGAGAAAGTTTCCCTTGTTATTTTGTGGATCAGAATGATTCTCTTATAAATGTCGTCATGTGACCTCAGTATGATCACAGGTATTATAGTGAGTTCCTACTTTAGTGAATGTGATTATTGATCTGTAAGTATCTACATGCTTCTGCATATAAAAAATATAAAAAACACTAGCAATTATATCTCATTCTTCATAGCCACATAGATAGCAGTCCTGCTATACCTGTTGTATGAGCTTGAATTTCCAATATTTATTTCATGGATTTTTATGTCTTCTCTGCAATGGTAATGCCTTAGTTTTTATTTCATTTTTTATTTCAAAATTTTACTGTCAGATATTTCCTTTGCCAATTATCCTCTTACACATGCTTATGGAATAGAGAGTGTAAGCTTTTCAAGTCGACCTCAGAATTTCCCTTCTGAGGGACTTCTAGGGACTTTCACATGGAATATGTTGAATAAAACTGTACTTTTAAAAACCCAGCTAGGAAAAATTGTATTCTGGTCATTATAGGAAAATGCCAGTTTTCAGAAGGTGCCTAATTGATTTTGCCCCATGAACAAAAATAACTTAAGTGCATTTGAGGATAGTCCTTTTACCAGCATGAACTTCATTTAGAATTGGTGACAAAGAAATTGAAACTCAGAAACTGGACCAGGAAACAAATAGAGAAGAGTGATGACTTTATTACATAGATTTTCAAATAGAATGTATTTTGGTTTCTTCGGTTAACCTAACTTAGTGCGTGTCACCAGGGGCATATTATTGGATTGGAAGGCATATTTAATCTCTTTCAGATTTAGGATGCTCAGATTTATAGTTCCTCTCTTATGCTAAACTTACCTAGATGAAAATTCTACTCATCCTTCAAGGTCCAGCTGTTAAGATACTTCTTATCTTGAAAGTTGGTCCTGTCCTGTACCCTACCTATCTGTCCACCTTCCAATCCCCAAAAAGGAAGTTGTCTCCACCTTCTGCTTTAAACTCCTAATTCATCATAAATATCTTTCTTCTTTCTATGCTTTTTCATAGTTATTTGAATATATACTTTATTACCAGTATTCAAATGTGGGCTTAACAGGAGCAGGCACAGTAGAGTGTTCGTCATTACTCTCCCCACAGCTCATGGTGCACTTTTATACATCTTGAATAGATGACTACGTTTTATGTAAATGAATGGCTTATATAGAGAACAGGCTTTTTGCTATGCATTTTTTGTTTTGCTCTCCAAATGCCACTCTGGTGCCCTGTTAAGGTCATGGAATCCAGGCAAGCCCCTGATGGGAATGAGGAGATGTGAGTTCTAGTCCCAGCTCTGCCTCTGCCATCTTTCCACAAACCACCAAATCTCCCTGGACTGCACTCTCCTTATCTCAGAAATGAGGGTGTTGTGTTAGATGATCTGGCAGGCTTTTTCTAGCTCCAAAATTTACTGGTGGGGTTATCTGTCATAGAGAGTGGCAGGGCAGTCTCTTTTATTTTCTCTGTGTATCACGGATATTATTCAGAATCCACCACGACATGAATACAGATGTGGTCTCTTAGTGTGACAAAGACTGTTCTCAAGAGGAAATTACTGGGTTTGACAGCTATCCAACCCTGGGTTTAGTTTTTGAGATGTCACTATAACAAGTGTTATAGCCAATGTATCCAATTCCTCATCTACATGTGTGTTTGAATACACTGTTCTTGGAGTAATAGCATGAGGGCTGTTTTTCTTTTAATTCAACTGTCAGGTAAGAAACTGCGGCCATAGTTTCTATGGCCAAATTTTGCTAACTCTTTCAGTCATCCTTGAGGTTATTAATAGCCACACATCAGGAATGTATTCATGCCATTTTCCTTTATAGACAAAGGAACCAATTTCTTATGTTTTTCTTTTGTAGCAGATAGTAACTTCTGCATGGGAACTTAGATAATAATGTATATCATATTTTTTAAATGACAGAAATTTGTATTTAATAAAAGAAATCTATATTTTATTAGATATTTAAATTAACATTGTTTCAAAATGTCATGCAAAAATAGACTCAGAATTAAGAATTACATCAACATTTTGATTGTCCTCTTTATATACATCCTAAAATCAAGACCAATCTATGACATACTAACCTATGAGTTTTCCACCTTTGTGTCTAGACATCTTGTCCACCTACCTCCTTCCCAGTCATTCTGCTCCATCAGGCTACTTTGAATAAATACATCCTTGTCATTCAAAGAGTCTTCCAAAGATCAGTGGCATCAGCATCAGGGAGCTTGTTGGCAATGCTTCACCTCAAACCCCACTCCAAAGGTACTGAATCAGATGTGTTTAATATAATCCCTGGGCAATTCATATGTACATTCACATGTATTAAAATTTGAAAATCACTGGTCTAACCCTTCTAGTTAACTTTGGGTAATGATAGTAAATTATAATTGCTTTTTAATGTTGTTTCCTGACTTCAGTAGCTTTACATTGCCTACCACATAACATCTAGATTCTTTAGCCTGACATACAAGGCCCTATAGACAGAAACTAGTGTGCCTTTTTCACTTGTCCCCCAGCATTTCCCAGGTCAAACATTCCACTCCATCTTTCTGGTCTACTTGCTTTATACTGATCCTGTCTCTTCTCTTCTAGCATTTTTGCTCACTGCTCTCTCTCCTCCTCCTCCCACTTCCCCATCCACATAGCTAAATGGTATCCATTCCTGAGCTGAACACTCCACTCTCTTCTACCTAGCCTTCCCTTACCACTCCAGTCCACTAAATATCTTCCCTCTTCCTTAGAACTCCTATAGCACTTGCCTCATAAATTTATCTAACAATAGCAAGCACAACGCTAGTAGCAACTAACATTTACTGAGTATTTACAGCGTACCAGCCACTGTGCTGAACAAACCCTTTCCAGAACCTCGTGGGTTAGGCTCTCTCCAAATTTCACAGATGAGAAAATCTTGGAGAGGTCAGAGGACTCACTCAAGGCCTCTAGCTAGAACCAAGATTCAAACCCAAGCAGTCTGACTTTAGAGCTTGTCCTCCTAATAACTGTTATATTCCTTTTCTCACCTTTTTTAACAGTATAAATGTCCTAAGTGTAAGTAAGAACCATGCCTTTGTATGCCTACAATGCCTAGCATAAACATGAGGAAGCAAGACATATTTACTCTGCCCAAAAAGTGATCTTGCTAAACTAGTTGCATAATTATATAGCTTTTCCCTATTCGTGTGAATTGGTTTAGTTTGGATTGTTATACTTCAGATTTCACTTGATTATCTACAATATAAACAAAAGGAACTGTTTTAAAAAATGTATAAAAGGAAGCTGATACAGCTTTTTATCACACAGAACTGTAGCAGGCATTCTAGTTCAGGTTTTTTGATAGGAACCCATGTGTTATGCATCTTGCCTATGGAATTATATGGCAATACCAAAATATGTGCCAAATAACTTATAAAATAAAAAAATTGATGAATGGAGTTTTATAATTTTAACCAAGTTTTGACCTAAATTCATGATTTGCTCTTTATAAGACAGGATCCTACTTTGACTCAGTTGGGAGACCATTTTGATCGTATACTGTGAGTCCAGCATTGTTTTATAAATTCCAGCTTGCCCACACTATTTGCTCTTCTTTGCTCTGTGGTTGCAACCTCCTGCTGGAGGAAGCCAGGGCAAAGTAGTAATTAAATCCACCCCAGACTTACTGTGATGCCCTTAGTTCCTGCTCATTCCCTGCCTCTTCCTGTCCCAGCCCCTGAACCTGCTGATAGCTCACTTGGTAGACTCAAGCCAACCCCAGGAGATGCAAGATAGGCACTAATACTAATAACCTCTACTCCCGCACTGCTTGTCACTCACTTCTACTCCTCTCCTACCCGTGGAATTTAGAATTTACAATCCCAGAGCTGATTACTGATGGCTAGACATGGCTACTGGATTCTCACATTGTTACCATAATCCTTTCTCCCAGTGCCATATCATCTGCACCCCCCCCCACCACTGTTGTCCTTTGCTGCCAATAAGCCCCAAGAATGTTTATAGCACCTTCCCTTCCTTATCTTCATGCAGAATCCAGGCGTCTGTCCAAGACCCTTGGTTCTCACCTGTACATCAGGGTCTGCACTGTTAAGTGGGATCTGGTACTTGGGCTTGCTTTTTGCCAATCTGAGATCTGAAGTTTACTTATCGCTTGCCTTCTTTCTGCAGTGCATCTACCTCCTATCCAAAACACACATCACACATACTACAGTCGATCCATTTCTCTCTCTCTCATCAAGTGTAACGTCTGAGAGATCTCAAAACTATGCTGTCTATCTTCCTAGATCCTCTTGGTTAGAAACTCTGCTGCCTGCCTTTGTCCTAGAATGGGACCACATTCACAGTCCAGCCAGAGACTGTGGTTCTACTTGACCACAGTGTTTGGACTACCCAAATTCATCTTTTGTACTGAGTTTCCCCGCTCTGGTCTAGTGTAATTTCAGAATGCTTTTCTTTTCATGCTGAGGTCTGATGTGCCTGTCACTCAGGTCATGTAATACCTTTATTGCTGTCCAGGGGAGCTTTAACTCAGCTGTCTTCAACTTCCCTCTTTCAAGGATGGCAAATAGTTAGCATGCATTTCGTCACAGACCCCTTCCATGCCTGTAGCCCGTACTCTTCTGCTGAGCCTCGAAATTCTTCTCAGTATAACAGCCCAAGCCAGTTCGTTAGCATTGTCACTGAAGATGAAATCTGTTTGTTCCCTAAGGATTTGTTCTTTGTGGTGGTTGTACCAAACCTTTCCTACTGCTGTGCATTGCAGGTGATCTTGTGTTCTGCTTCATGGAGAGGGCCAGGGCCTCTGCCTGGTTTCCTTTACTGCATTGTCATCCACCTCCACAGTTTTCTATTTTCCATCAATTTTACGTCTAACGAAGGGGGGTGTCTCTCTCTCTCTCTCTCTCTTTTTTTTTTCTAATTCCTCTCTTTTATTCTGGTCTCATCCCTCTCCCTTCTTATGATCTAAGACCTTTCTCCATCAGCCATTCCCCCTTCTGTGTATAACTTTCATCCCTGCCTGCAGATATACTCAAATCCAGCATAGAACACTGTTCTCCCCACCTAAGTCTCTCTAGTTACCCCATCTTTTTTCTTGGAGTTCACTGTTGTCAGCTTCTTGCAGTGTTCAGCACCCTGCCTGAGGGTCCTGTCCTTGATTCTTGCTCTTCCCCAGCTTTCATAGCACTGTATCGTTCCACAGCAGTGACAGTGGTTCCCATCCAGAGAACACGTACTACATATTACCCTACTGAATCCTTACAGTTACCCTGCCCAACAGCTGGTATTCCTACCCGTTTTACAGATAAATCTGAGATTCCTTTATTGCTAAATTCAAGCCAAACTGGACTTAATATCTCAATTATTTTGTCTTGGTCGAAGAAAAAAAGACATAGGAAACTGACAAATAATAAGTTTTTATTTGATAATTGTTGCATTGCCCCCCACGGATTTGTCACCCCTCTTTCCCTGGGTGACGGATCCACAAAGGATTACTCAAAGCCCATCTCTTCTGAGCAGTGAGAAGCCCCAAAGTGGTTAATCTCCCAGAACCCTCAAGAGTGAGGCATTCATTCCATTTGGGAAATTAACCACGAATTGGAGTTCTCTTTCTGCATTTATTCTCCAGACCAGCAAGTTACAGGAAGAGACATAGGTGGGGTTTTTGCTAAGTGCAGTTTAATAAGTTTAACAATAGAAGCTGGTAACATTCAGTAAAAACAAGTCAGATGACATTCCATTAGGCAATTAATTGATCCACCAACAAAAGCTTGATCTTAGCAAACATTCTCTTCTTGCAGCAATTTCCCAGTATCGTTACATATCAATCAGTAACCTGTCTGTCTTTGAACCAGCAACCTTGCTGTGTTACAGTTCTTTATCTTACAACAGAGACTTTATAGCCTGGGGAAAATTTCCTGTTCTTTGCAGCGTCGATATTTGAAACTGCAAGGCTTTGGAAAACCAGGCCCTGTGAAGTACATTTGCTTTATGAATACTCCACAGATAATAATCATGTTGCTGGTACTTGTTAATTATCAAGTGTTTTTGTTACCTCAAAGTTTTATCTTTTGGTTTAGGAATGCCACTGCCTAATAATGATAGAATAGCTTGAACTTACAGGTAAAATAAAATGTCTGCATGCTTATATTCATCGCAGCATTATTCATAGTAGCCAAGATGTGGAAACCACCAAACAACCTGAATGTCCACCAATGGATGAATAGATAAAGAAATTATGGCATACATATGCATTATATATATATATGTACACACACATATATACACACATATATATGAGGAGTATTCAAAAAATTCATGCAAAGATTTGTTGAAAGATTATCTTTCAATTCTGTTTTTCCATGAACTTTTTAAAGTAGCTGTATGTGTATGTATACATACACAATGGAATATTATTCAGCCTTAAAAAGGAAGTAAAGCCACTTGTGACAACATGGAGGGACATAGAGGACATTACGCTAAGTGAAATAATCCAAACAAAGAAGTCAAATACTACATAATATTACTTGTATGTGGAATCTGAAATAGTCAAACTCAGAGAAACAGAGTAGAATGTGGTTGCCAGGGGCTGCAGTGTGGGGAGATGTTGGTCAGAGGGTACAAACTTTCAGTTATAAGATGGTTAAATTCTAAAGATCTAATGTACAGCATGGTAATTTTTTATAGCTAATAATAATGTATTGTGTATTTGAAATTTGCTAAGGGAGTAGACCTTAAGTGTTCTAACCATACACATGCATGTGCTCACACATGCACACACAGAAACTATGTCAGCTGATACATGTGTTAATTAGCTTGACTGTGGGAATCATTATACAAGGTATACTTATATCAAAATACTGTGCTGTATACCTTAAATTTATATAATGTTTTATTTGTTGATCATACCTCAAAAAATGTTTAAACAAACAGTATTGAGTATTATTCAAGAATCATGTTAAAGGATTTATTTACATATTTTTGTGTGTTCCAATAAAGCTTTGTTTATAGCCAATACATTTGAATTTCATAAAATTTTCACATCATGAAATGTTATTCTTCTTTTGAATTCTTTCAACCCTTTAGAAATCAAAAAGTGATTCTTAGTTTGTGGGCTGTGCAAGAACAGATTGTAGGACACCTTTCACCCATGGGCCATAGTTTGCTGATGCCTGTAGTGGTTTCC